TTGTTTCGACCTGCTCCTAAGACTCAGGCACGGAAACAGGGATGCGGAACAGGCCCAAAATAGCCTGTTCCTCACGTACTCGACCAGGAGCTGCAGCTGCAGCCCCTGCCTCCCTTCGGCAGGCTCAAGAGGCACACCCGTAGTACATAGGAGGTTCCCATGCACTTCACGGGCAGGAGGGTAGTGTCAGTAGGCAAAGGTAGTCTTCAGGATTCGGCCGCAGCACTCAGGAGGAGCGCTGCAGTAGTCTTCAGCGCTAGGCAGTAGTGGTAGCGCTAGCTGTAGTCTTCGGCGCTGGGCGCCATAGCTGTAGCTGTAGTCTTCAGCGCTGGGCGCTGGTAGGTAGTAGATCGTGGAGTGGGAGAGAGACTGGCGGAGGCCAGTGTTACTTACCTGTGGCTCCATCGCTCCAGCTCCATCTTCGTGGTACCTGCATCAAGGCGCCAACTTCACAGGTTAGTACTGGACACAGAGAGAGAGAGAGTTCTTCTTCTTCCTCTTCTAAGTCCACCTTCTCTTCTCACCCTCTCGCCACCTGACTTCTCAGACTACGACAGAGAGAGACAGAGTTGTGACTTGAGACTTGACGACATTGGATCCAGACTTGACATCTGGGATTCAGACAGTTCGACGAGGGACTATTTGGGCTTGTGCCGTAGACTTGGTGTTGACGACATTCCCATCTTCCCCCTCCTCTTCGTCTATCCCCTTCCTCCTCGTCTGTGCATGTTCTGGGCTGGCGCTGTCTTCCTGTGTGAAGCGCCAGACCCATTCACACTATGAAACGATGATGATGATGTATGTTCAGGGCTGCATTACAACATTGATTGTTCGGATCACTGGTATCTAAGTCTTCCGCTGTGCTATCTTATACCTTGTATTGAAAGGTCGGTTCTTGTTCTGGTCTGCACCTATACGGTATGCAACACTGGGACCATGTACAGGGAAGGATGCGCTAAAGATAGCAAAGAGGGTAGCACGCACTAAAGATAGTAAAGAATTACGAAATGGCCTTAAGGGATGTTTGTCTGTTTTCTTTTTTTCCTGCCTTGATCCCTGGAATACAACGTATGGTGGGTAACTTTCAGTCTAAATAGTAAATGTACAGCAATAATGATCATACGACGTACGTTGTATTCGGGGGGAAGAAGGTAGCATGTTTTGTCGGACTTCATCGTTACTTCCAAGCGTGAAGAAGTAGCCTGTGCACGCTCCCGAGGATCACACGCCATGGAAGGCTTGGCTTGAACACTTGCACAACGGAGTTTAGCGCAACTGAGGAGGGCATACTCAGACTGGGACTGTCCTGGAGGTATGTGACTGCAATTGCGGGTAAATTCAGTGCTAGAAGTCCTAGTTGTGAATACGGTGTTAAGTGAGGAGGTATCCTGGAGGTATGTGACTGCAATTGCGGGTAAATTCAGTGCTAGAAGTCGTAGTTGTGAATACGGTGTTAAGTGAGGAGGTATGTGACTGCAATTGTGGGTAAATTCAGTGCTAGAAATCTTAGTTGTGAATACGGTATTAAGTGAGGAGGTATGTGACTGCAATTGCGGGCAAATTCAGTGCTAAAAGTCCTAATTGTGAATACGGTATCAAGTGACACAGGTAGCTGACTTCTGTAGCCAATTGTTCGATAAGTTTATGGCAGAGGGTCAGATTGTTTTTCCACTACACTACAGTCAATTGATAGAGCGAGGGAGAAGGACTGCTTTTCTTTTCTGCATGGAAAATGGGCAGATTTTCTGCTCACCTACTTCTCAGCCCAAGAAAGCGGGACGAGCCATTGAGTGGTACAAAATTACAAAACTGGAAGCAGTGGAGAAGGGGATTAACAGTGCCCTAAATTTTTAGGGTTCTAACTAAGAGGGTCACTAGAATGACAAAACTCCCACACCTTTTAAAATTTAAACCAAACTTGTGACCAATCCATAGAGTGGACAACAAGCAAACTAGCAGCCAAAAGAAAAGGAAAAAAAAAGTGAAAAAGAAGAGGACCAAAGCAGCCCAAAACCCTCAGGCAAAAATGTGTTTCAAAACTTTCATGCAAAATTCACTCTTTACTACCGTCTTCACCCAAATAGAACGCCCGATCATTATAGCTGTATTTGGCCCACCTTCCAGTCTAAATACAGCGATAATGACCGGGCGTTCTATTTGGGTGAAGACGGTAGGCCTTCAGACTCTCAGAGTCTTTCAGGATTTTCAGGATTTTCAGGGCTTGCCAAAGCAGTCATCTCCAAGGTTCCAAAAAGAAACACCAAACTTGACACGCACAAACCTTGACCAAAAATAAAACAGGGGGGCAAAAGTAAAAAAAGCACACTCTGGAAAAGTTCATCTCCAGATGCTTTTCAGTGCTTACAGGGAGGGCCGGGGGGGGGGGGGGGNGGGGGGGTGTTGTTGTTGTTAACCTATGGACTGAAAAGTGGGGGTCAGAGACTAAGAGTGTGAACTTTGAAATTTGAATCCCGGTTTGTTTTTCCGATTGGCTTTTTCTTTTTTTCTTTTTTTTTTTAAACAGGTCCTCATGGTCCTGGCTCCATGTCCATTCTGGGGAGCGTCAGTCTCCTATTCCCCCGGCAAGTCAAGATTGAATACATCATAGTACACACCCACGCTTCCTTCCGTCTGGCCGAAGGAACCCTGACCAGCATTGATTACTCCTGTATGGGAGGATTGACTGTCAGCTTGCCCTACCCTAGCTTTCCTCTCAGAAACCCTGTTGGTTCTGTCAAATAGGTATTGAAGCACAAGAAAACCGGGAGAGATGTCTATCCGTCTGAGGCTAGAACCTCAATTTCTCCCTCTCGGGGCTACATTCCTTGTCGTTGTTGGAGTGGCCCATTTCTTCCAGTGTAATTTATTGTCTGAGACTGTCGCAATCTTTCCCTGTAGCAACCAGTCTCTCATGAAGATTCGTCTCCTGAGTGCGAGTCTTTCAGGTTTGCCTCTCGTTGCTGTCGATATACTCCTCCATTTGCATCGGATCTCTGTTTCCACCATCCTCAGCAGTAGTGTCCGCATTTCCTCCTTGGCCACTTCTGAACCCTCGATTGTCTTGGTACACCTCCTTTTTCCATATGACCCACAGGGCTAGTTTCCTGATCATGTGGAACCAGACCGCTGTTCCACCTCTGAGGCTGTCAGGGATGTTAGATAGAAGTAGGATGTTCAGAGGGGTGAGGTTGGGGGGAGGGGATGAGAAGAGGTAGGACCATAGATTTCAGACTTTGTTCCACATCCAGGCGGCCTGGCTGCAGTAGAGGAGGCAGTGGGGGATGTCTTTAGGGACATTGTCACCGCACATTACGCATAGTTCCGAGCTGTCGGGGTCCGAGTGTTTTCTTCTTTTGTGGAGCCAGTGCTTGACAGGGAGTGCTCCATGGGCTAGGAGCCACTGTAAGCTACGGATTCTAGCTGGTCTGATGGGGAGGTATTTTGTCCAGGGGATGGATATTGAGGCTGTTGGCTCTAGGATCAATGTCTCTCTCCATCTGTCTTCAAGTTTGGGGTTGGGGTCCGTGGTCAGTAGGCCTAGGTTGTACCTGAATTTTACATCGTATTCCGGTATCGTTCTAGTTTTTCCGGATTTGCTTTGTTTCCATATCCACTCCTTAAGATCGAATTCGAGCTCTACTATGCTGAGGCCAGGCTGGAAGATTATCCATGGTTTGGTTTTTGTTCCCCTTACTTTTCGCAGCTGGAAGGACTCTATCGTCTCTAGCTGAGGTTCTCTGTTGAGGATGGCTAGTTCCTGGAGGTTGTGATTGGTGATGGGATAGGAGTAGAATTTGGAGAGGTAGCCGGTGGCTGAGGTGCGGGATACGAATCGGTATGCTCTATTTGGTGAAGTTTGGGATATGAGTATACCCCAGTACCCTGGTTTCCAGGAGAAGTCTTCTTTCAAGAGGCAGAGCCAATGGGGTGGGATGCTCTTCTGGATTATACTTAGGTTGTCCGCAAGAGTGTGACATCCTTTTAGGCTGTTCCGGAGTTCTTATTCCATTCGCCATTCCCCCCGTTCTTCTGCCCACAGGTGCTTAACCTGCCACACCCCTTTTTCAACCCACGACAACCATCTTCGGTCCTTCAATTTTGGTGACCAGGGACTTCCCTCGGGGTCCTTGATCCAATCGTTGCAAAACAGCGGTTGTCTCAGGGCCTCTTCTTTGATTTCCGTTGTGCCATGTTTGCTTGGCATCATACGTCGCCAGGCTTTCAGAGTCGAGGTCCAGTACAGGTTGGATGCTGGGGCTGCCTGATTGTCTAAGTTTCGTGTGGTGCTTCTGTGGGATCTTGATCTTATCGTCCAGTCCTTTGCCATAATCCAGAAGTAGCCGCTCATGTTTGGTGGGGAGCTTATCGGTGCTAGGTTTCTTATGCTGTCTAGAGCCATCTTGGTCCATGGTAGGTATTGTCTGGTCAGGATCTTGATGATCCATTTTATCTGTAGTGCTGTTGATTCCTGCTTGGGGTCAATTAGTCGTAGGCCTCCCTCCTGCGGTTCCTAATGATGTGGCTCCATGCTACCCTGTTCATGCATGAGGTTTGGTTGGGGTCCCCTGTCCATAGATAGCATCTTGCTCTAGCCTTTATGGTTTGGAAGTCGACATCCGGGGGAAACCAAATGGATGCGATGTACCATAGTGTGGAGAAGATAGCTGTGTTTATAATTAGTGCCCTCCCGATCAGCGATGCCTGTGCGTTCTAGCACGGGGCCAAGCGAGTTATGCTTCGGCAATTAAGCTGTGGCCCATTCCCGGCCACAGACAATCTTTGTTGACCATGATACGTAGGTATCTGAGTGCCTGTTCGCCTGTGGACCACGACATGGGTGTGGATGTGCCCTCAGGTTGGGGGGGCGTCTCGTCTGCTAGCCACCATCCTTCGGTCTTGCTCCAGTTGACCTTCATCTCGGATGCGAGACAGAAAGCCTCCATAGCCCTCACGAGAGCTTGGAAGGAACTGTTCTTGGCAGGGACAAGAACTGTGAGATTGTCTGCGGACATCAGAGCAGTGGGTAGGGCGATGTCGTGACGTGGGTTGAATTTCCGTTCGGTGAGCCGGTCTATGGACGGATGTTTGTGGAGGAAGGATGCTATGGCTTCCATAATGAAGAGAAAAATGGGTGGAGCTAGGGGGTCTCCTTGTCGTACAGATCTGGAGATGGGGTAGGTTTGCGATAGAATCCTATTGACCTGCACTCTGCCGGTTGCGTTAGCGTACAACATTTTGACCCACTTCTTGAAATTCAGGCCAACCCCCATTTTTCCATGCAAGCGTGAAGGAAGTCCCAGTTGACTTGGTCGTAGGCCTTTCCAAAGTCGAAAAACAGGATGGCTGATTTCATCCTTTTTCGGTTATCTTTTTGGCCACCTCATTCAGAGTCGTCACATTGTCGAGTATGTACCGTCCTGGGATGAAGCCCGCTTGGTCGATGTGGAAGCATTTGTCTGTCAGATTTATGATCCTGTTGGCTAGTGCTTTTGCTAGGATTTTGTAGGGGGTTGTGAGTAGCGAGATGGGTCTGTAGTTTTTCAAATCCTCTTTCTCGCCTTTTTTGTGGAGTAACGATACTACACTTGTACTCAGATTTTGGCCTAGTCCTCCTCGGTCTCTGCTGTCGTTGGAAAAATTGAAAAGGTCCTCGCCTAGTGTGGGTCAGAACTGGACCCAGAATTTTTTCGATAGTCCATCAATGCCCGGGGCTTTATCGTTACCCATCTGAGTCAGGGCTGTGTATAGTTCCCCCAGCGAGAGTGGTCTGTCCAGCCCCTCGGTCTGTTCTGGTGTGATTGTCTTCTCCAGGTAGGCCATCATTCGTTGTCGTGCTGTTGAGTTGGCTGAGGGGAGGGGGGAAGGTGTTTTGGATTCGTAGAGCTGCGTGTAGAACGATCTGGCTATTTTCACCATTCCTGAACCTGATTGACCCTGTTCTGATTGTCCGGGTCCTTCAACCCTTCAATGTTGTTATTTCTGGTATTAGCTTTGATTTTTGCGAAGAAGTG